GGTGTACCACCCGAGCCTCGAACTCGCGACTTTTGATCAGACTCTAATGCCCTAACCATTGAGCCGACCTAAACCGGCAAGACAACGAGCTCGTGTCTAAATTGTTAAGGCGTTAGACGTCAGAACAAAAGTCGCGGGTTCGAGACCCGGGTGGTGCACCACTTGGGTCTGGGTATGACTGGCTGACGAAGGCTAAACAGCCAGAAATCGCCACTCCAGTCTCCTTTGTCTTTGCCGGCAATACTATTTGCCTATACTACTAGTTATGGGATTGCCTACGCCACGTGAGGCAACCCGAAAACCGAATCGTGAGCGTATTCGAGTTCAAATGATCAGACAGGAAGGAGGAGATAACAAGCAAGGACTAAGTACCTGCAGTGAGGGGACGCTTCCGATTTCCGTCATGCTTTTGGATTGAAGTGAAGACGACGCAACGAGCCGGCATGTTCACGCCCATGGCGAAAGTCTCAGTGGCAAAGAGGACTCGAACAAGACCGCGCTGGAACAAAATTTCCACCACCTATAAGGCAAAACAATAGGAAGACAGGAAGATAAAACGACCCGCAAAATGGTGGTGTGCCCAGATGGCAGGTGGGGTTAGGCGCAGATGGCTGACAGAGCTATACAGCCCGTCTATAGGCGCCACAGATGACCTGGTCCTCCACACAAGAGGGTTTGGCAGCTCTGATCTCACATGCGTGGGAGCGCCATTCAGCCTGACTCACAGTGCACCGGTCAGCCACTCCACACAAGCACACACACACAGGGGCGACAGTGTTTGGCCACGCAACAAGAATAATCTCTTAGACTTATCCTAGCCTGTGTTTTGAAACGAACGACAGAGTGATCAACCTTCGACCGAACTCCGACTTACCTTTAACTGTGTGAATGAAGACCGCTGTATCGGGTCCGGATAGGATAGGCGTGGATACTGAACTGCAAAACGACGGAAAAGTGAGACCCCCAAGAAATAGGAGATGCGGTTAAATCTCAGAATAATTGGCAACCTAGGAGGGAAGGTTTAGTGAGTCCGCTTCGACAGGTTTTGACAGCATAAGATCTTAAAAGGTATAAGGGTATCGAGGATGCAGTATGACAATCCTCTAGCACTATTTTCGAACTAATCTCTAGATAAAGGGATAACCCTATCACTAGTGTACAGAGGTTGATGAGTAGGTGAAGGTAAGGCGGAACCGACAGAGACAAGGGCGACCGAAATGACAATTTCTAGCTTATTAACCGTTATCAGCCAGTCATACCCAAACCCAGGGGTGGCGACCCCCGAGATTCGAACCCGAGACCTTTGGTCATTGAGCGAAACACTCTATCGTCGAGCAATGGGTTCATTGTTTTTGTCGGTTGCGATCGGGAATATGGTGACAGTAGGGTGCTCACCGATTGGACTAGGGAATATGCTCGTCCCGTTGTGGCTTGCAGTTCACCTTGTAGCAGTCGTATAGCGACTTGTGGTATAGGAAGATAAGGTGGAACCGAGAAAGACGAGGGAGAGCGGAGGACCATTTCGAGCTTATTAACCATCATCCGACAGTCATGCCAAATCCCAGGTGTGTATCACCTGAGAGCTCCAGGGCACAAAGAGACATACCTGTTCTGTAACCAACTCAGATCAAATTAGGCGAATACCTCTGACTTGTAAGTACTCACGTTGCCTTTTTTAACCAATAGCTATTTAGATAAGTCGGGAGAGTTTAGAGAATCTGGAATGAGATGCGAAATACTGATCTAGCAGGAGAAACCTAGAACGGCGATTGGAATACAGACTCGAATCCTCTCACTACTTGGCTGACACTCTGGCAAAAAAAGATGTCACCAGTCATAGTATAGGGCCTGTTGTGTGAAGCCGAAAGCCCAGAACAATACAATTGCCGTTCAAGAGATCGCGTCTTCTTCTTCTTCTTCTTCTTCTTCTTCCCTACAACATATGTATTTAGAAGGGGCGATTATGAGAATGTCGCCGCTATGACCACCAGACTCCACGTTTTCAACGAAGATAACGACAACGATAAAGTTGGCCGAGGTCCTTAGATATCCCTAGCTCCATAATTCTGTCCTACGGCAGCGGTGTTAATAGGGTTTTATAGTTGGGTTATATCACAGGAAAGAAAAAAAATACATCAAAAACTTGAGCGTATAAAAGCAGAAAATAATGGGAAACATTTATTTAAATAACCAGAAATTTGCGCGCGATAATTAACAAGACAAATACAACCAATAGAGACACAAGATAAGTACAAAAAGTGCCTACAAGTAGGCTACATATCAATATCGGCTCTATATCAAACTTTAGAGATTTAACCCTTTTTTAAAACTCACAATAGCTTCTAATGCAGCTGGGCAGATATTTTAGCATAAAAACCCGAAACACAACCACAGGTTGCTTAAAAATTAAATTGAATTAAAAATTAAACTATAATTGAAACTAAACCAATAAAGTAAACAATAAACTAAAGATTAATCTAAAAGTAATAAAAATAAAAGCAACCCCAGGAAGCTAAAAATTTCCATGTTGGCGGGTGCAGTAATTACGCCTACCAAAACGCATACAGTAGTTGTTTAACACCCACGGGCAACTTAACAGTTACCAAGATAATTTTAGTGTATTATGATGTGCAGTAAGAGAAAACATATGTTCGCAAAACCATTTCCGAAATCTGTTACTGAAACTTATTACGACCACTCTTCTGCTCAGTGGTCACAACCCGGCCATTTTGGACTGAAAAAATTTGGAATTCTCCACGTCCATGTCCGGTGAAAGTCTGTTTGACCCACATACAATTGTTCCCGATCCCCAAAACGCAGTGCACGCCTGGTTTTAACCCCTTTCCCCAAGAATGCTGGCCGCCCTCCCATTTTGTCCAAGGTTCCCCGTCTCAACGTCAAGCGACTGCGCACAGGCAGCTGTCTGTGCCTGACTAACCTGAAGCCGCTTCCACGCGTGTCCAAAACAGTCGCGGCTGCAGAGGTAGCACTTGAACACGTCACCCCTTAGTCAACGTCACTGTCCGCACTCCCCTCTCTTGTGCATGGAAAGCGACCCAGATATGCAGTTGTTACGCCTGGCTGACCTGAACACCCTTGACCCAGTTTCCTTTCGCGTGCAGCGGGTGCTCCGAGGAACTACTTGGACATCTCCTTCTCCCGGCCGACGCAGCATAAGCCGCTGTATACTACAATCTTCGAGTAATGCAACCCACCAGTGGGACACCACATGAACTGTCTCTGAAGTCACATAAAAGCAGCGGTCGTCCCCTCTCGCATCCCACACACACGCCCCATTCTGGCTTCGCCCTGCACCCGTGTGGCATTATTAGACGTGTGTCGTTCCTTTGTCTAGAGTCAGGCAATGATTGGCCGACACGCTTGTTCTTCTCTACGAGTTCACCGGAAAACCTACGATCTGGAAAGCATTAAAATCTCGCTGAGATTTGGTCAGTAACGCAAGTCTACCGGCGTTGTTAGGAATTTGAGCGAATCTATTAAACGTATTTGGGTGCAAGGTAAAAGCAATTGACTTGAACATCTGCATCACACATAAACCTTAGGTGTCATTACGTTTTTCCTGGTACGCAATAAACTGCGTTGGGTTTTTTTTTCCACGCAAAACACAGATAACGGAAATATCATGTGAAGCGTCACAGAGGAAGAAAACAACTAAAATTATCGGTGAGTTGAAAATGGAGGTTGTACGACACACCTAGCGGATATAAGGCCAGACTGGGCCTTAAAGAACAAAAGAGCACGACTAGACAATTAACATGATGCTTCTGAAATGGAAATACATCTTACGACCTAGCAATACCGTAGGCTTGCATTGAAATACAGCCGGAAGTTCAGTTATTAGTGACGAGCGGCGCAGAAGGCGCGCATTTTGAACCAGAATTGTTCAGCTAGGGCAAGGCTGGAAAAGGCAAGCTTACGCCAGCCTCCGACAGCCATGAAATATGCGTCCGAC